CGCATTGATCGCTGAAGAATAAATAGCGTCGTGCTTTCGGCTTTCATGTGTTTCGGACCAATTTCGTACGTGAAGGCAATGAGCCACTAGTTGGTGCTACCCGCGAATCGAGAGTCTCCCTATGGAACGGTTCTCCCGATTAGCTCGTTGAAATTTTAACCACGCGCTGTCAACCGGTGAGTTAATTTAACGTGCAATTAAGAACGCGGCGTTTCTATCGTGGATTCAGCATGACTGTTTCTAATGTAGTTGTCGGCGTGGTTTCTACATGAAATTCGAGGACCGCGTAATTTCCTTCCTGCGGAACCAATTACTGATTAATTTGGCAAATAACTGATGTGTAAATTTGTCATTGGCAAACATGACTCCTCCTCCAATTGTTTATTGTTACTATTAATTGCTGTTGCTGTTGTGACGTCTATTAGTTTATAATATATATATATATATTGTTTAGTTTATAATTAGGCTGACTAGACTTTTCGAAAGATATATATTTTTTTCCTTCAAAGATTTTCAGAATGTCAAAATTTGAGATTTAAAATACTATAAAATATTCTTAAAGAATTAAGTAAAAAATTAAATATTAAAATTATTCACAGATTAATATTATTAAATTGCTTGTCAATTTAATTTGTAACATTACTATTCTAGTTCTATATAAATTGCGTTTCAAGATTGATAATTAAATTTGGCAAACAGATTACAGAATTAGAGATGTCTATGTAGTATATAAATTCACACCGGATTATTTATAAGCACTTTATAAGATCCATTTTAACCGTTTAGAACTTTTATTTCCTATTTGTATTCACATTACGGTGTACTAAAAGATACTCTGTTTAAGTAAAAAAGTTTGTAAATTTTGTAAATTTACAAAGTTTGCAATTTTTTAAGCAGTAGTTTTTAAGGATATAAATACGACTAATTACAGGTTATATTTAAACAGTCATCTGTGAATATTAGTGAGCATGTATTTCAGCGTTAGAAAAAAAATGTAAAACAGCTATTAAACTTTTAACAGCATTTCAGCGTACACACTAATATCATTATCGCACAGGCAATTCATGGGCAGGTTGTAATTGGTTATTGAACACTTATATCTTAAAAACTACTATTTAAAATTACAAATAATTTCTTTTTACTTTTTAATTTTTTGAGAATCTTCTTGCTATTTTGAATTGTAAATTTTAAAACACGTTATATATTCATACGTTATATATTCTAAGATTTTTAAAACTTATTTAATTTAGAAGTTTTTTGTTTCGAAAAATGCAAATATCTTTAAATTTTTTATACGATTACGGCTGTGTGCATAAGAAAATATTCATAATAACAAATTATGAAAATTTATGCAAATTCTGTTAGTTCGACAAATGAAATTTTTAGAAAAATAGTTATAGCAATTCTTCTTCGTTTTTTACTGATATTGATTTTTTACTGAATTGGTTATTACGATTAACATGTTAAAACTACGAATATCAGCTGAAAATACTTCATCGTATGATTCGCCGTACGTGATCACTCTGACACGGAAATAACATAGTTTTATCTTCGAAATTAAATATACTTGGCGAGAAAACGGTTTTTATCAGTAATAAAAACACGTTATTGAATTTATTTGCGGTGAATTCGCCGTGAATTTGGATAAAAGTCTCCCTGTGGATAAAATGCGTCTTGTCTTTCTAAAAAATTTGAGCGATTATTTTTTATATATTCATGAAAAAAGTTATTAGATGCCATTTCCAATATATATTCATTGCGAAAAATTTAAAAAAAGAAAAATAATATGTGTGAATAACAGATTGATGTTCTCTTTCTGTTTGAATTTCTGCAATGTCTTTGCTGTTTTTCGTTGTATTCTCTAACTAAACGCAAATATGTTGGAGGTTTGCTAGCTGTTTTAGATTTTTTTCTAACATAGGTGGTGTACTTTAAGCTTTGAATATTTGTGGCAAATATTAGATCCTCTTTTCTTTCGTAACGGGAGAAGCTGGAAGCTGGGTGCAGAGAAAAGAAGCATTGTTTTCATTCCAGTGGGATATCTCTTTCTTTGTTCGTACAACACCACCAAAGTGCATTCTTGTCGTTCGCGTCGTTTTTCTCTAAACCGTCGTAGTATATCCAGCAATTTTAGACCTCATGACGAAACTGCGACATGTTTAAGAATAAGCAGGAAAATAATCATTGCAAGATTTATCGCTTACGTCTGATGTTATCACATTATCAATTTTTATTTGCCATAATTGGATGTGAAACCACTTTAATAAAGTTTTGATTTGCCCGATGTTCTTGCCACAAATAAAAATTTAAAATGAAACAAAATGGAACATATTGATTGTTTCGCAGTTAAAGTTGACAAGTTTTAAATAGGTAGTACAACATCAATTGAAAATTAAAAAAAATTGAAAATATTCAAATTTTTGTACTTTTTTCTTCCGAATCAAAATAAAATCGATAAAACGTAACAAATTTAATAAAAATTAGTGAATTTTCTCAACGTTCTAGCTGAATTACGATTAATTTACAATTACTTTATCTCCATATTATTTTTTAAAAATATTTTTGCTCCCGAAAAATTCATCGATAATATTGGAAATTCAGGTTTATATGTGAAAATTTTGTTGATTTAAAATTCGAAACGATATCGTATTTCTGTTTTTATTTTGAAGCCATGATAATTAAATATTTCTACAGAAAAAAAATATAAAGAAAATAATGTATAAAATAAAATAAAATTCTATATATACAATTTCAACACTTCACTATTTAATAATTTATATATTTATTTATTAATCTTCGTTCGCTTGTTTGTAGCTAACTTTATTATCCGTGAAAAATAAATGAAAGCTCGCG